CTACTGCCAGAATGTAAAAAGCTTATCAACCGAGGCAGACAAATTAAAAGGAAAACTAAAAACGAGTTTCCCCGAAGTATTTTCGGCAGGTCTCGGAAGATGCAAGAAAATGGCAGCTAATATCAAAATAAAGGATAACGTTCAACCTATTTTCAAGAAAAAAAGGAGTGTACCGTTTGCGTCAATAGAAAAGATTGACCAAGAATTATCTAGACTCGAAAATACGGGCATATTGAAAAAAGTAGAGTACAGCAAATGGGCCGCACCGACGGTCTACGTTAAAAAGAAATCAGGAGAAATTCGAGTTTGTGCTGATTTTTCTACAGGTTTGAACGCAGCAATAAAGGACTACCACTATCCGCTACCTAGTCCTGAAGAAGTATTCACTAAATTAAATGGCGGAAAATATTTTTCAAAAATTGATCTAAGTGAGGCCTACCTGCAAATTTCAGTCGATGAAGAAAGTTCAAAATTACTATGCATAAACACACACAAAAGATTGTACAGATACCAAAGACTACCATTTGGAATTAAAGTAGCGCCGGCTATTTTCCAGCAGACAATGGATACGATGCTGGTAGGACTAGAATACACAATAGCATATCTGGATGACATATTGATTAATAGCGAAAGCGTTGAACAACACTGGCAACATGTACAAGAAGTGTTTAAGAGAATTCAAAGCTACGGATTCAAAGTGAAAGAAAATAAGTGTGATTTTTTTCATGAAGGAAATTAAATATCTTGGCCATATAATAGACCAAGAAGGTAGACGTCCAGACCCTGAAAGGTCTACAGCATAAAAAAAAAAAGATGCCAGTTCCTAAGAACATAACAGAACTACAAAGTTTTCTTGGATTAGTGAATTACTACCAGGAATTCATACCTCAAATGCATAAACTTCGCGCACCATTGAACGAACTGCTAAAGAAAAAAAAAGTTTGGCAGTGGACAGATCAATGCCAGGAAACATTGAAAAAAAAAAATAATCAAGACATTAACATCGGATTTATTTTTGGCACACTATGATCCTAAACTAGAGATTATTGTAGCAAGTGATGCGAGCGCCTACGGTGTCGGAGCGTGTATATTACATAAAATGCCAGATGGGACAATAAAACCTATCGCACATGCTTCTCGAACCCTACTACCAGCGGAGAAAAACTATTCACAAATTGAGAAGGAAGCTCTAGCAATTATCTTCGCAGTAACAAGATTCCATAGATACGTCTATGGTAGACACTTTACTCTGCAGACGGATCACAAACCGTTAATAAAAAATTTTTGGTTCAAAAAAAAGGTCTACCGGTGTACACGGCAAATAGACTACTTAGATGGGGAACGATTCTGCTGAACTATAATTTCAGATTGGAATATTTACCAACGAAAAGAATAGGGCACGCGGATGGTCTGTCGAGACTTATACCAACAAAGACAGAGCCATTGGAAGATACGGTAATCGCAGCCCTTAGAAATGAAGAAGACATAAGAACAGTACTATGTTGTACAGTCAGAAACCTCCCAGTTACATTGCAAGACATAAAAAATGAAGCCAAAAATGACGAATTTATTAATGAAACAAAAGCAAAAATAGCAGAAAAAAATGAGAAAATTTCGGACAGCTTTTTCTCTATGCGATAATGTGCTACTTTACAACGAAAGGGTTGTAATCCCCAAAACTTTACAAAAACGGATACTAAAGGATTTCCACAGAGGACACCCGGGTAAAAAAATAGAATGAAGTCGCTAATGCGAAGCTATGTATATTGGAAGAATATGGACCAGGATATTTCTCAAATGGTGGAAATGTGCAAGGGTTGTAATTTAGCAGCTAAAGCACCGCCAATCATACATAAGCCTTGGCCTGAAACTGATCGTCCATGGTCAAGAATACACGCAGATTATGCAGGACCAATTGACGGGTTCTACTATTTAATCATAGTTGATAGCTACAGTAAATGGCCGGAGGTGTTTCGGTGCAAAAATCCTACTACAGAAACGACCATAAATTTCCTCCACGAGCTATTCGCTCGGTTTGGCGTAGTGGACTGTTTAGTAACAGATAACGGAACGCAATTCACGTCAGCAGATTTCCAAGAGTTTTGCGAAATCTATCAAGTAAAACATATAAAATCCCCGCCTTACCATCCAAGATCAAATGGACAAGCGGAGAGATTCGTGGATACTCTCAAAAGAGCATTACGAAAAGCGTACGATGTGCCTACGGAGAAAGCAAACATTACAGCAATTCCTACAGGTATATAGAATAACGCCAAATAATGCGACACCATCAACATTATCACCAGCAGATATCATGTTTGCTAGGAAAATCAGATCAGCGTTCGATAAATTACTACCAAGTAAAACAAAACAAGTAACACAGTCCTACACACCAAAAAAAGAAAATTCCTCCCAGGGGAAAAAAATTTTTTTTTTAAGGCATACAAAAAAATAATACCTCTTGCTGGGAACAAGGGATAATTGAGAAAAGAATTGGCAATATGATGTACATAGTTCAAGGAAAAAATTCTCACACAGAAGACACGTAAACCAAATAAGGAAGAGACCGTTACAGGATGCTAACGGTCCACCTCAAGAAGAGGTATTGGACACGATTTTCGACACATTCGATATAACAAGACCGCAAATAATGCCAGAACCAAGAAAATCGTCTAGAAAAGAAAATTTACTGAACCTTTGGAAATAGATCCAAGAAAAAAAGATATTAAAACCCTGCTACGCAAAAATTTTCGGAAGGGGGGTGTTATGGGACCTTACCCATAATAACATAATGGACTATTCCATACGTAATAAATACTGCGCCTCAAGAGGAAGCAGGGAGTTCAGTCTGAAGTCTGGAGTGAAGTCCGTCAGGAGTCTGTCAGTCAGTCAGAGCGAGCGAGTCAGTCAGTCGAGTAACAAGAAGACTGAATTCATTAGAAAAAAACTTTGTTTACTAAATCTCGCTTTCTATCGTTGAAATCCAAGTAAGCCAATTCCTCATTTATTGGCTTGTGAGATTAGATCACCTCACTACTGCATTACAGAAACGGTAATAATCCTTCATCCTTTCCCGGACTCTCTCTTCTATATATATATATATATATATATATATATATATGTGTGTGTGTGTGTGTGCGCGCTTGTGTGTGTTTGAACACGTAAATTGGTTTTATAATTTAGTATCTTTATTTATATGTGATTTTCAGAACGTTGTTTTTTGTTGTCAGCTGACAGATGCATTTTCATCCCAAATGCATCAAACTCTGTTGAGTATCTAAAACACTGGGAGAAAGAACTATATATTTTATTGTATGTCTTCATCATTCACTGAACAGCAAATTTACGATTACCACGATTCTAATGTTTGCTCTCTCTCTCTCTCTCTCTCTCTCTCTCCTTAGTTTGCGGATTACTACCAAACAATCCTGTGTTTCGTGCATTGCATAAATTAACTGTCTTTCTCTCAGTCTGTCTATTTCTTAGTATGATTTTTTTCCACCTTCATTTTGTTCAACATTCTCATTTCTCTCGGTGTTTATTCCACTGACCGCGTTTACTATTTTTATACTATCAATATTTTTTCAATAATCTCGCGTTTCTTATTACGATTAATAGTAATCAAGTTATTGTTATAAAAAAGGACAAAATATAAAGCCTATTTCGCTAACGTCCCAAATACGCGCGAACGCAAACACATTCTCAATAAAGGACGAACAGACATGGCACAAAATATATATATATATATATATATATATATATATATATCCCGGTCGCCATTTCGTCCTTTACAATTGTTAACATCTTAAAAGTTAGATATTTTTAAACGTTTCTAGTTTTGCAATGCAATATTTTTATCAATAAATTTAATTTTCCCGCCAAATTTTCTTTCAAATCATTGGTCTTGAATTTTATTGTAAAGTTCGGCTAACAACGTCTCTTAAGTGAACATTATGTCTATCAGAGGTTCTCTTTCAATCGATCTTTGATTTGCTCGAAATATTGCGTGTTTCTTATCCACAAGAAAACTTACCATTCTAGCTTACAATTATAAATATTTAAATACATATCTATTTATATTAAAATTATACTATTGAATTTTTTAGAAGTTTCTCCAGATCCTGGTTCACATAGACGAAAATATCACGTGAAAAAATGTTGCTTGAAAAAAATATTAAAAAGTAGAAAAAAAAGCGTCAGTGTGTGTTATATAAAATATATAAATATTATATAGAATGCATAGAATGAAAATGGAATAAAGAAGATAAGAAATGAGTTTTTAACCGCTTGGAAATTTTTTTCTTTTTCATCAACGAGTTGTCGAATTAGCAAATTATAAATTAAAATAGAAATCGGATATTCGACTTAACGCTGCAAGAAATCCACGGTGATATCGACAATGAAGAAAGTATACTACCGATGGAGAAAAGTATTAAAAGACCAAGCCCCGTAAAAAGTGAAATAAAAACGTAAAAAATCTGCACAAAGAAAAATAAAAAGGAGAACAAACAAAACAAACTAAAAAAAAGAAAGGAAAAAAAAATCTATAACACTTGAAGGATTAGAAAAAAAAAAAAAAGTAAAAAATGCTGAAAAAATCAATGGATTTTTACATCTTGAAACTAAAAATATAAGGGAGATCAATGTTCTCAACTACGATGAGGCAAAATGTTGATTGAAATAATTTTATAAACATTACGAAACAACAACGACAACAAACAAGTGTGGAAATAAAATTAGAAAAAGAGAATCAGCAAAATATAAAGAAGCGCAATCTGATAAAGTCATCCGTAGAAAAATAACAGAAAAAGAAAAACTAAAAAGATTATGAAACACATAAGAATAGAGAAAAGAAAAGGAAAAAGATTATGAAACACATAAGAATAGAGAAAAGAAAACGAAAAAGATTATGAAACACATGAGAAAAGAGAAAAGAAAACGAAAAAGATTATGAAACACATAAGAATAGAGAAAAGAAAAGGAAAAAGATTATGAAACACATAAGAATAGAGAAAAGAAAAGGAAAAAGATTATGAAACACATAAGAATAGAGAAAAGAAAAGGAAAAAGATTATGAAACACATAAGAAAAGAGAAAAGAAAAGGAAAAAAGATTATGAAACATAAAAAAAAAAAGAGAAAAGAAAAAAAGATTATGAAACATAAAGAAAAGAGAAAAGAAAAGGAAAAAGATTATGAAACACATGAGAATAGAGAAAAGAAAAGGAAAAAGATTATGAAACACATAAGAATAGAGAAAAGAAAAGGAAAAAGATTATGAAACACATGAGAATAGAGAAAAGAAAAGGAAAAAGATTATGAAACACATGAGAATAGAGAAAAGAAAACGAAAAAGATTATGAAACACATAAAATAGAAAAGAAAGGAAAAATTAAAAAAATGAGAAAAATTTGAATTGAAAAGATTGAGAAAAAAGAGAAAAAGAAAAAAAAAAAAAAAGATTATGAAACACATGAGAAAAGAGAAAAGAAAAGGAAAAAGATTATGAAACACATGAGAAAAGAGAAAAGAAAACTAAAAAGATTATGAAACACATGAGAAAAGAGAAAAGAAAACTAAAAAGATTATGAAACACATGAGAAAAGAGAAAAGAAAACGAAAAAGATTATGAAACACATAAGAGAAAAGATAAAAGAAAACGAAAAAGATTATGAAACACATAAAAAAAGAGAAAAGAAAACGAAAAAGATTATGAAACACATAAAAAAAGAGAAAAGAAAACGAAAAAGATTATGAAACACATAAAAAAAGAGAAAAGAAAAGGAAAAAGATTATGAAACACATGAGAATAGAGAAAAGAAAAGGAAAAAGATTATGAAACACATGAGAATAGAGAAAAGAAAAGGAAAAAGATTATGAAACACATGAGAATAGAGAAAAGAAAAGGAAAAAGATTATGAAACATGAGAATAGAGAAAAGAAAAGAAAAAAAAAAGATTATGAAACACATGAGAAATGAAACAC